CGATTTGTGATTACGTTCCCTAGAGAAAAGATTGATTATGTTGAGGCTCTGGGCTTCCACATCAAAATTGAAACTTTACAGAGGGCTGATTTCAAGAAAGTTCCCCAACGAAATGAACAGCAGAATATTGACAGACTGTCCAGGAGCTATAGAAAGATGATACCCATGCATGTACTCGAGGTGTCCACATGGCTCATGCTCACACCTCCTTCAAATCTTTGCTTAAATGTCACCTCAGTGAAGAGTTTTCTAATGACCCTGATTTACCACCACTGCTGTCCCCTCCCTCCATTCAGCATAGTCCATTCTTGCCACATTTTATTGACTCTTTTTCCGCATTATAAGTTCCATGAATCACTGGTTTTGTCTGTTTGGTTTACTTGTGTATATTCAGAACAGTAAAGTAAAGTAAAATAGTAATGCCTAGTAGATGCTAGAATGGTCTTTATTAAAATTTTTATTTATTTAATTTTGAAGTAAACTTTTCTTTTGAGATAATTGTAGATGCACATGCAATTATAAGAAATTACCCAGAGATCCCAAGGTAAAGCATCCAGTTTCCTCTAGTGATAACATCTTTTGGAAACCATAATAGGATATCACAACTAGAATATTGACAATGATACAGTCAGAATAGGGAACATTTCCATCATATTGCTCTTTAATAGCTACATCTACTTCCATGTGTTCCCTTACTATTATCTTAATCCTTGGTGTCCACTAATCTGGCCTCTCTCTATACTTTTGTCATTTTAGGAATGTTACATAAATGGAATCATGCAGTATGTAACCTTTTAAGGTAGGCTTTTTTCACTCAGCATAATTCCCTTGAGATTCATCCAAGTTGTGTATATAAGAGGTTCATTTTACTGCTGTGTAGTATTCCATAGAATGGAAGCCTCCTGGTTTGTTTGCCATTTGCCTCTTGAAGGGCATCTAGGTTGTTTCCAGTTCAGGGTATTATAAGTGGAAATACTGTAAGGATTTACATCAGTGATTTTGCCTGAGTATAGATTTTCATTTCCTTGGAATAAATGCTCAGGAGTGCAATTGCTGAGTTATATGGTTGGCACATTTTAGAATTTTAAAGAACTATCAGACCATTCTTCAGAATGGCTATACCATCTTTCATTTCTACCAGCAATATGTGAAAGTTCCAGTTTCTCTGCCTATTTGCCAGCCTTGTCTTACCATTATTTTTTCATTTTACCTATTGTGGTAGATGTGCCATGATGCCGCATTATAGTTTTATTTTGCATGTCAGTAGTGACTGAGGAGATTGAAAATCTTTGCACTTGCTTATATACCCTTTGTATGGATCTTCCTCAACCTATGGTGGGTTCTATCCCATCCTAAGTTGAAAATATGGTAAGTCAAAAATGCATTTACTATATCTAACTTACTGAACATTCTAGCTTAGCCTAGCCTGCCTTAAACTTGCTCAGAATACTTATATTAGCATTCAGTTGTTGTATAATAGCGTACTCTAGTGTTCTCTATTTAGAGTAAAATGTTGACCGTATCATGCAGTTTATCGAGCATGGTATTGGACCTGAGAAACAAGATGGCTCTATGGATATGGAATAGTTGTTTAAGTGTATTGGTTGCTTACACCAGTGATTGTGTGGCTAACTGGGAGCTGTGGCTGCCCAGTATCACAAGAGAGTGTTTCACTGCATGTCACTGGCCCAGATCAAAGGTCAAAATTTGAAGTAGAGTTTTTGCTGGGTACAAATCACTTTGCACCACTGTAAAATCAAAGAATAGTAATTTAGGGACCATCTCTATATCCTTTTTCCGTGAAATGTCTCTGTTTGTCTTTTGTTCCTGTTCACTTGGATTGTGTGCTTTTTACTGTTGAGTTCTGAAAGTTCTTCATATATTCTAGATATTAGTCCTTTGTCAGATGTGTGGTTTGCAAATATTTGTGCCTATCCCTGGCTTATCTTTTCATTCTTTCAGCAGGGTTTTTGATGAGTGAGTTTTTAAATTTGATGACATTCAACTTACCATTTTCTGCTTAAAAAAATTATTTACTTATTTGATAGAGAGCACAAGCAGGAAGATCAGCTGGCAGAGGGAGAGGGAAAAGCAGGCTCCCCACTGAGCAGAGAGCCTGATGTGATACCAGAAAGCTGGTATCGTGACCTGAGGTGAAGGCAGACACTTCAGTCTCTGAGGCCCTCCAGGCACCCCTCATTTTCTGCTTTAGAAATAATACCACAGGTGTGAAGTCTTAGAAATCTGGCTCAATATCTTGAAAAATTTCTATTTTTCCCCTTAAACTTGTATAGTTTTACATTTAAGTATGTGATTTAGTGAGAGCTAATATTTATATAAAATATGAGACCTTGATTAAAGTTCAATTTTTGCTTGAAGATGTCTAATTGTAAGCTTGTATTTGTTGAAGGGTTGTTTCCTTCATTGACTTGATCTTCGCATTTTTTGTCAAAAATCACTTGTGCATAATTGTGTGGATCTATTTCTAGGCTTTCTATTCTGTTCCATTGAACTATGTGTCCATCTCTCTACCATTAGGACACAGTCTTGATTACTTAGCTATATACCTCTTGAAATCAGGTAGAATGATTTCAAGACTTACTCTACTTTTCAAAATCATTTTAGCTATTCAGGTTCCTTTGTCCTTTCACACACACACACAATCTTGTCTATATTTTAAAAAATCTGATTGTGATTTTGAGATTGAAATTTTTGGACTTACATTAAACCTGGACATCAGTTTGGGGAGAATTGGCATCTTTACTAAATTGAGTCTCCCAATATATGAACATACTATGTCTCTCCATTTATTTAAATATTCTTTTATTTTTGTATCTGAGTGCAATATCATTTTCAGAATATCTGAAATAACTGCAATATCATTTTCAGAATACAAGTTTTGCACATTTTTTGTTAGATTTATACCTAAATATTCATTTTTGAGCAATTATCAATGGCATTGTTTTTTAAATTTCAGTGTCCATAGGTTTTTTTTGCTAATACAATTGATTTCTCTGTAGTATGATTCAGTGTCTAGCTAGTGTCCTATGACCTTGTTAAACTCACTAATTCTAGGAGTTTTGTTGTTGTTGTTGTTGTTGTAGATTCTTTGGTATTTTCTCTCCTTTCCTGTCTAGGAATAGTGCCAGGAATAGACTAGATCCAAACTCCTTACCCTGGCTCTATGGCCCTACATACTTGTAGGCTCTGTCTAGTAGCCCTGTCTATCTACATGAAATTTTCTTTTATAAGTCTCTCTGGGCTCAATATGCTTCAGTGGCCAATCCCTCTTTCTATTCCTTTAGGATACTGAAATCTTTCCCAGCTTGGGGTCTTTGTACAAACTTCACTTCACTTGATGTGTTCCTTCCCCTAAGCATTTCATGGTTGATCATTGGGTCCTTGTCTTTCTTAGAGATGCCTCTCCTGACCTCTCATGTTCTATTCTACCAATCTAGTTTCATAGTCTCCCTAACTCTTACCCACATGTGATATTTTCTTTTCTTTCCTTTTTTTTTTTTTTTGCTAAAATGATTTTTATACTGAGGTCTCAGTGCCATGAATACTATATAATTTAAGTAGAAATGATGTACTGAGCACTCGTTATGTTCCACACATGGTTCTAGTGCCAGAGTTGTGTCTTTCTCCATTACTGCTCTATTCCAGCCCTAGAACCACACATGGAAAGTGATGGGTGCTCAGTACATCATTTCTACATAAATGAATGAAAGTGTTGGACTTAATGTCATCTCTGTCATATCTTATTTTACTCTTCAACAAATAAATATATTACCTAAGTCCCCATTTTATAAATAAGAGAATGAGGCTTTAGAATAATTAGTCCAATTATGGAACTACAATAGTGTTTCTTCTGCCTATTTCAAACTTGACATCATTATTCCTGCAAATATGTATGAGCAAGGACTTCAAAATTAATGTTGTTAAACTTTATGTATGAAATTGTTTTTATCTGAGACACTTTCAGTAGATGTTTTCAAAATTCCTAGAAAGTATGTTTCATTATCCCATTCAAATGGTTATGCTGTAGTGTCTGGGAATATGGGAACATTCTAGAAAGAGTGAGTTACTCCTCAGTCTGTTTAAGTTTATGATTCTAGGAGTACTTCTTTCTTTATTGTAAAAGAACATCATTTCATGCATAATACTGTTGGAAAATATTAGTTTCATCTAGGATTGTTAAACCTGTCAGGGGAAAAAATAATAACAAAAAAGACTTGTCTAGGTATTTAAATACAGAGGATGCACATTCTATGTATATTAAATCTTGTGGAGATAATATTTATATTTATACAAAACAAGCAGAAACAAATAAACACCCTGGGAATATAAACTAGAGCATAGACAAATCCTAGAAACTGCCCTAGGCACTCAAGAATAAAAACAACAAAACCTCTGTACCTTCAAAGACAATGAGCCTGTAGTTTTCTGGCTTTCATTTCACTTCCTACCTCTACAACCTACCTTGAATGGAAGAATACTTTGTGAAAACTGCACTCTCCCACTTGTTCTCACCATTAATTCAAAATAAGCTGGTCGGTAGGGAGCTAGCAAGTTGCACATTGTCTTTTAGAAATATGGAGAAACTGAGTCAGCTCTTTCTCTTAGGTTAATGCAGGAAATTAGTTTTGGAGCCCAGTTGCCTGGAGGCAAAGTACTGTGGCTTAAGAGTTGTGGCTTCCAGGCTACTGTATTTTGAACGAGACCGATTTTTTATTTTATTTTTATTATTTTTTTTAATTTCCAAATACTTGAACCTGGACAGTGCCGAAAACATATCCAAATTTAGAAACAGCTTCTTTTCCATTTCTGTGCCTATGAAATAGAATGTATTTATCTGTGACAAAACAGCCTTGACTCCATTTGGTGGTAAATCTTCATCTGTTTGTTTAGAATCAGGGTCAGCTCCTCAGATGTGCCTTTTTTTACCATTTAGGCTTTCTGAATCTGATTAACACTGTATCAGGGAATTGTCTGATGTCTGACCTTGAACAGCATGCTATTCTACATCCCTTTTTTTGGGGGGGGGAGTAAGAATCATTTTGTATAGCTTTAGACCCTGATATTCTTTCCCTGCAGGCTTGATTGCATTAGCAGTCTCTTTTTTTATTGGTGCCCATAGGGTTTCAGCCCCAGTGACCTGTCATCTGTCCCCTCACCTGCTTACATGCTGATTCATTGATGAGCTGGCATCACAGTCCCCGCCTCCCTGTGAATGGTCGGTGAGGTTGCAATTGCTCCTGGAGAGGGGCTGCTGAGCTGAACCACAGTGGGTTACTACAAGTGGGAGCCGGCAGCCAATCTATTGCCACAGAAGAACTTGGTGACCATCCTGAGAAGCAACCCTTTTTCCCCACCCTGTTACTGTTCTATCCGTATCTGGCTTTTCTAGCTTTTTAAAGGAATTTCTGATTCAGACACTCCCAGCTAATTCCACAGGAGTTGTAAGGCAGCCTGTGACATAAACTGAGACAGAAGTTTCCCCTCAGAGATTGTCTTTTTTTTTTTTCTTTCTTTTCTTTTCTTTTTTTTTTTTTTTTATTGGCAAAGACTCCTGGCTCTCACCAGAGGAATACCTTGTTGCTTAAGATGAGTGGCTGTAGAAAGCGGTGTAAACGTGAAATACTGAAATTTGCCCAGTACCTTCTCAGACTATTAACAGGTTCTCTTCATACAGGTAATGACTTTTTTTTTTTTTTTTTAAATAAAAGAGGCTGGTTAGAGCATGGGAATGAAACGGAGTAAGAATATTTCACTATTTCTTTGTTGTGTTTATTTTTAATGTTGTCAATAAAATATAGTTGTGTTTGCTGAGATTCACATTTCTAAAAATGTGTGCAGTGCAGCTCTAATTTGGGGCAAGAACTGGATTCCGTGGATGTATCTTTTGTGTCTTTTTGGCAGTGTTGCTGTTAAATGTGCCTCAATCTCAGGAAGCCGTGTCTGCAGACTAGAAAGATTTTTTTTTTTTTAAATGCATGCTTGTGTGAGGGGTTTCCTCCTCTCTCCTGTTTTGCTACAGATTGTTGGAAAATCACTTATCTGTTGTCCTCTTGCAGGTATTTAGAAATTCTCTAGAACTCTTGGATTATTATAATGCATAGATGATTTCTAGTAGTTGATCACAGAGCTGGGGCCATGAAAGAGTTAAGGCCATTTCTTTTAAATTTCTCAGTTTCTGGCAAAATGTGAGCAAAATGTGAAAACAGCTAAAGAGTAAAATGTCCACGAGAGGTTTGGTATTTATTTCATTGCAGTTATTTCGATGTTTAAAAATTTGCACGATTGAAATGGAAACTCTATTTAAATCTAAGTGTTGATAGCAAGAAAATATTTTTAAGATGTTCCAGAATTATGAGCCCAAACCAGTAGTTTTGCTGCCCGTGAAATTGCTAGGCAGTGCCATCATTAAGGTAGTGACAGGTGGGACCCAGACTATGACTCCAACCAGAGGCATTTTTAATGGACCATCAAACTTCTGAGAGACAAAGTTACTTGATATCATGCTACCGTTTGATATTGGCCAATGAAGCACTTTTGTTAGGTTTGCTTTTTCAGTGTGTATTTGTTTTCTTTAAGTAACTAGAAGGACTGCATGTAAACCTACACGTTGTGATGCAGAGATTGAGAGATGAATGTGAGCAACATTTGCTGTAGGAAATAAACTCTTTATGGTTAACAGCAGAATTACATGTATGATTCTGTCAACACCCTGATAAGGAAAAACAACTTTTGAGAGAATAACTGTGAAAATCAATTTCTGGGAGCATTAAGTATTAATAAACATTATTGAGATTGTTATCAGATGCTGATCTTTAAGTAGGGCAAATTGTGGTGACTTCTGATGCTTTTAAGAGTAACAACTGAGAGTCTATACCTGACTTTTGTTAACTTTGAGCTCTGTTGTATTTTCTACCCAGTTTTTTTATACTCCGGTTACTAATACATGGTCCCGTCAGTATGACTGCTTTATCATGTCAATGTGATCAATAGTATCAATATGACATTGGCTTTAAACTTTCCATTAAGGATGGTGTGCCGTTTGTGACAGCATGTCTCATTGCACAGTGCTCTTTTATCGTGCTATCAAGTTAGAGAAATATTTTATAAAAGAAAGCTTTCTATGAGGTTTCCATGGTAGTCTGTATTTTCCTCTTTGATAAGGCAATTTTAAGGTTCTACCTGTTTCTTACTGGATTTAGGGGTTGTGTTCTGCCTTTTTTGCTCAGTCCATGTCTAGTTTTCTTAAACTTTCATTTTCAAGGAATTTTATGAAGATGGTAAATGGTTGTGAAGTTGTAAACCATAAATATTGAATCTGAAATACAGTGGGTGTCCAATAACTGGATGGCAATTTATAATATGAAATTTTTGGAAAACTGACATAGCAGCAATTTTTCCAGACCTATTTAATGCATATTTAGAAATCAATATAGGTGGGAAACCTTCTCCTCTTTCTGAGGCGCAAAATGAAAAACAAACAAACAAACAAAAAACCAAGAACTTTGAGAAATAGGACAGATTATTATACAGTAGTGAGATAGATTTATGGCTTGAGAAATGTGATTACAGTAACTTGTTTCTTGTAAAAATCTTTTCGGCTCAGGCTCTAATATTAAACATTGTAAGATCTAGCTGGAATCTTTACAACCACTGAAAATGCAACCTGGAAAAGCCAATTTATGCACTTACTAGATGCTGTGATAATATACACTGTTCATGTTGCAGTATCTAATGTAAAATTCATTAGGACACTTTCAAGTCCCTTGGCTAGTAATTAATGAAGAAGTAGGAAGCAGAGTTGAATTAGTTTAAAAAATTTGCTTTAAGGTTGGATATGCAAGCAGTTGCTAATTGTATCTTGAACAATCAGCATATATCTTTGTAGTTATCAAAAATTTAAAACAATACTAGAGAGCCTTGCATGATTTCTTTTTTTCATTTTACCAACAAGCTCTTTATTCTCACTTTTTCAATTAAAGATGTGATCTGAGGAAACAGTGATGTGTTTTACATTTAAAAACAGGTTAATTTCCCAATACACACTCTGTATTGTTGGCAAGTTGCCTTTCATTAGATATCCAAAATATCCATGCCTTTACACAAACACAGAAAATTTTAAGTACAAAGAAATTTTCATGGACATAAACTCTCCTTTATGTGTTTTATTGGTGTTATCACAAGTTAGAGGAAAACCCCTTCCTTTTCTGAGAGCTTTTCACATAAGTTTTGACAATGCCTATGACTGCTTATAAATAAATAATTTAGCTGTTAATTCATCTAAGATAATCTTTGTAATAGAGAATACAAATTCAGTGGTAAAGATTTGTTCAGAGAAAATAATTTTATTTTACCAGGAACATTTTACATATTTTTATCATGACAAATCACTCTTCAAAGAGTAGGTTTTACAAACACATATATTTGGCTTTACTTATCATGAAAATAAAAGGATTTTTAAAGATCTTTTGTTATATATAATACTTGTCAGAAATCCAATAATCAAATATTAGATGTCAGTGGCATGTTTAGTGTAGTGAGGTACAATTCACAATTAACTATCCAAATTCTTTATTGATTTGAGACCTGCATTTTCATGTACCATATTATGCCCAATTCTAGATGTGGCTCATGATAACCAATATATCCTTATATATCTAAAGAAATAGAAACGATTTGTGAGGATTGTAATATGACACTGGTAATTTGAGTGGGCAATCTGATAGGCGACTTGTGTATCATAGAAGCCCATAGTATTGCCTGTCCTGTAAATGTTGACCCATGAAGAAAGGTTGAATGATACTACAGATACAAGATTTTCACCTGTTTCTTCTTTATGTGTGAAATTTAGTATTGGAATGTTTTATAGTACTTATTTGGTGGGTGTTTAGACACTTATCAATTCTCTGTACATAGTTTTCTTAAAAAATCAAGATCTGAAGTCATGTTCTTATTAGCAAGTGTGCCCCCAAACAAATGTCTCAGGTGGATATTTCCTGGGGCTCTTTTTCAGGCTTCAAGAATTGGAGGTGGAGATGAACCATGAGAGACCGTGGACTCTGAGAAACAAACTGAGGGTTTTGGAAGGGAGAGGAATGGGGGCTGGGTGAGCCTGGTGGTGGGTATTAAGGAGGGCACGTATTGCATGGAGCACTGGGTGTGGTGTCTAAACAATGAATCTTGGAACACTGAAAAAATAAAGTAAAAAAAAAAAAAAAGCCAGTTATATAGGTGTGGCCAAGTTCAACTCTCCACCTAAGGGAAACAAAAGGAATTTAAATCAAAATATCCTGTTAGCCATTGAATTACTATTTAACTTGTGGATTAAAGTATTTCAAATTTAATGTCGTCATAGTATTAAATGCATGAGGTAAGCATTCATCACTTCATCAAGTAGGAAACTTTAGATTGAAAGAGAGAATGTGCACAAGCGTGCACATTTATTTTGCAAGTTTGCATTGTTTCCAGCTTTACAGTCATTGTTGAAGTTACTGTGAATCAGGCCATCCACAAAGCTAGTGACATAAAGATTAAGATATTTTTATATTACATTTTTAAAGTGTAAAGAGAAAATAAAGGGTGTGTTGTAGCAAAATCGGAGAATTAAGAAAGCCTGTCTGGCTGTATCTACTTCTTTTTGCCTTTCCCTTCTTTCTTCCTCCTGATTACAAATCACAAGATCAAGTCTTCAGGCCCCTCTGACCTTCTCTTCTGTCCCCATCACTGCCACATTTGAACACTGGGCAGACACATCTCTTGGAAAGGATGTATTCCCGAAGACCTCCCATATTTAAAAATTCACACAGCTCAAGTTTAATCCTGGCAAAATATGACAGGTGATTCCATATCCCAGTTCATGTGGTCCTGCCATGTGACAATTGAATAAGCAGTTACTGTTCCCTTGGCCTGCCAGCTCTGAATTTATGCTGTTCTTGATTAAATTTTTATTTTTTAATTCCTTCAAATTTTGCTATCAAGTGAGATTATAGTTCTTAAAGCACTATGTAAAATTTAGATTATTGAAATGCACAGAAAGTTTTGCTGTGATATACTCAGTTTTTTTGGTGCTTCTATTGAAACCTGCCCTCAGGTAAGAAGAAAGCAAAGAAGGATGATGTTTGTACTTGACTTCCAAGGAATATATGGTATTGTATTGCTTTTCCTGACAGAATATGCATTTTAAAATTTATTGGGAGAATTATTTTGGCCTCTGTTAATTACTTGAACTTTTCATTCCGGAGTGAAGGAATATTTTGAGGGATTCAGCATCTTGCCTCATCTCCTCAAACTCTGCCATTGTTGCCAAATCTAGGTAGAGAATCCTTGGATTCAATGGAAAAAAAACACCTACATTTGCACATATATACCGGTTGTCCCTTTCATTTCAGAAAAATATCTCATGTTAGTGTTTAATGACCTTTGATGTTTCTTACCACATAATTAGTATATAAGGTAAACTTATAGGGCTTGAAGACTTTAAAAGAAGAATGTTTTATCATTGTGAGAACTTCAAACTAGTCAGGGATACCATCTCAGTCTTAAATGTGCTAGACTCTTAAAACTCATTTGTTGCTGATAGACAAAAGTAATCCATATGTTGCATACAGTCTAAAGGGAAGAGCTAATATCCATAGAAGGAGCTGTATTTGCCCCTGTTCATTGAGGTAATCAGAGATT